CTCCTCCTCCTCCTCCTCCTCCTCCTCCTCCTCTTCCCTCCTCCTCCTCCCCTTCCCCCGGGCCCGCCGCCCACTTGCGGCACTGGCCGAGGAGCGCGGCGGCCGCGCGTTGGGCGAGGCCGTGCCGAGCGGCGGCGGCGAGGCTGCGCCGCGCGGGGGCGCGGGCGCGCCGGCGCGCGGGCTGGCCCGGCACGCCGCCTCGTCGCTGGCCGAGGCTCGCCACATCTCGGGGGGGGCAAAGAGGGGGGTGATGACTGGGGGGGGGGGATACCATGGCGTGGGCCATGATATTTCCCCAGATTTCATGGCGCCGCTTCTTATTTCATTACGTCCCTGGCCCCCCCGCTGGACCGCGCACATGCCGCCGGCCACGATTTGCACCCCCTCCCTGGCGCGCGGCGCGCCAGGGGCGGCGCCGGAGGCGCAGCCCAGGGTTCAGCGCGGATCCAAGAAGTCCGCGCGGACCGTCGAACGTTTATGTCTATGCCGCTGTTCGTCGATCGAAGAAAAGCTGCATGAGCACACGTTCCTCGAGGAGAAAAGAAGCCCTGACCGTCATGACAGAGTGAAGGCATGGCCTCACTTAGGTCCCCGCCCCTGCATCCGGGATGCTGGATCTGGGCAGCCTTGGTCTGATGCACCTGCAGAACAGGCCCCTCTCCTTCCTGCTCTTGGTCCGCCTGACCCAGGTCCCTTCCCAACGCGTTAGGGATCCTGCTCGTGCTCATCATACGCCTTTGGGGCTCCGCGCGGATTCCTAGGAGCTGCGGCAGGCCCCCTCGGCGACGCCCCTGGCGTCGCCTTCTGGGCGCTCCGCGCGCCAGGGAGGGGGGTCCAGCGCAGATCCAAGCAATCAGCACGGAGCTCCCAGATCCGCTTTTTTCACCACCCACCAAGCCACCCCAACCCATCCTGAAGGCTTCCGTTTGCCCTCCACTTCCGGTTGGGGGGGGGGCGGGGAACGTTGAAAAAACACGTGGAACCCGTACACTTTAGGCGATGCTTAAGAAAACGTAAGTTTTCGGCCAGAGTCTCGATTATTCTTACTGTTTCAATGTAAATCCTAAGAATTTGGTAGGAACTTTGAGTTTTTACTCCAATTCTGAGACTATGAATTTCTTAACCCATGATTTCTTAAGCATTTCGCAGGGTGTACCCCCCCCAACCCGAACTTCGGGTCACATTCGGGTCTTCGGGCTGGGTTGGGGTGGTCTGGCAGGTCGTCCTTTCTGTCCTCCCGATCTTGGCCCGGACCTCCAACGCGTTGAGCCTCTGACTCGGAGGTCCCTCGCCGCTCTCGGACTCCGGTGGCCCTCGCTGGGCCCCTTTTCGGACCGTCAGAAAAACGAGCCTTTCGTCGGACCTGTCCCTCTACAGTAGGAATCTGTTAAAAATAGTCAAACATAGTCGAGGGACAATTGTTTTTTGTAACTAGTTTTGAATATTTCGTTTTTTTTTGTGTGTGTGTGTGACTATTTTCTAATCTTTCGTCCAAGGTCCCCCTGCAGGGGGACAGGCCCGAACTAAAACTGGCCCAGGGGAAAGGGTTCGGTCTTCTCGGGGGACCGCGTATCCACAAACAAAATGCATCGGATCTCGGAGGGCAGTGCCCAGGGGGGTCCTTGAGCCGCAGGCAATCTTGCGCCCCCAGTCCGCGATCTCCTCCGAAAAACACGTCGCTCAGAAGGCACGGGGAACTCGGGGATTCACCTTCAGGGGTCAATTGGGACGCACCCGTATCGAGGATGGACACCCTCGCGACCGCATCTCCCCGAGCTGGGCCCCGAATGTTTGGTCCACTCGAAAACCATCCAAAGTCGGGGTTTCGGGGTCGCCATGCCGAAGCAGTGCCAAGGGTCTAGGCCTCCTAGATGGGGTCCGAGTAGGTGGGGTCGTCGGATCGCGCCGCCTCGCCGATGCATCGGCGATGTGGCTCGACGTGGAGCCCGATTATCTCCACGCCGACGGTGCCGATGCACCGCCGACGTCGCCGACGCATCGCGGATGCACTGGCTATGCGTTGGCGACGCGGCGCGATCCTCCGACCCCATCTACTCGGACCCCACTCGGGAGACCTCTACACGAGGGGCCCCTGAGATCCCCGCCTCGCATTTTTGTTTCGCTCCGGCCGCTTCAGACCGGCTTCAGGTCGGCATTGTGGAGGGGGGAGGCGGGGGAGGAGGCGGAGGAAGGAGGGCGAGCAGGGACGGGGGAGAGGAGGAGGAAGGGACGGAAATAGAGAGAGGGAGAGGGAGAGGGGGAGGAGGGCGAGGGGGAGGAGGGAGAAGGGGGAGGGGGGAGAGAAGGCGAGGCGAGGAGGAGGGGAGGGAGGAGGGGGGAGGGAGGGACGGGGGGGAGCTGGGCGAGCTCCGTCGAAAGGCCAGTCGTTCCGTCGCAGAGCCGCCGAGGGCATCGTTGCCTTCCTGCCTCCCCGGAGGCCGCCGCCCGGGGGGGCGGCTCCTCCGCCGGCGGAGGCGGCCTCTCGGGCTCGGCGGGGGCCAGCGCTCGGGGCGCGCAGCTGGCCGGCGGCGGTCTCGGGCAGGCCGCGGGCGCACGGTCCTTCGGGAGGGTCAGAGCTCAGTGCACGTCGGCGGGTGGGGGTGGAGGAGGAGGAGGGTGGAGGAGGAGGGTGGAGGAGGCGGAAGGAGGAGGAGGAGGGTGGAGGAGGGTGGAGGAGAGAGGAGGGTGGAGGAGGAGGAGGAGGAGAGGAGGAGGAGGAGGAGGAGGAGGGTGGAGGAGGAGGGTGGGGAGGAGGAGGGGGTAGGAGGAGGGGGGAGGAGGAGGAGGAGGAGGAGGAGGAGGAGGAAGAGGAGGAGGCGGGGAGTTGGAGATGGGGTGAGAGTTGGAAGAGGAGGATGAGGAGGAGGAGGAATTGTATTTTGAATGGAGTTTGAGTTGGAGTTGGAAGAGGAGGAGGAGGACGAGGAGGAGGAGGACGAGGAGGAGGAAAACGAAGAGGAGTTGGAGAAGGAGTTGGAGTTGGAGTCGGAGTTGGAGTTGGAGGAGGAGGAGTAGGAGTGGAGTTGGAGGAGCAGCAGCAACAGCAGGAGGAGGAGGAGGAGGAGGAGGAGGAGGAGGAGGAGGAGTTGGAGCTGGAGCTGGAGCTGGAGCTGAAGCTGGAGCTGGAGTTATAGGAGGCGGAGGAGGAGTTTGAGTTGGAGGAGGAGGAGGAGAAGGAGGAGGAGGAGGGATTTGAGACGGAGGAGGAGGAAGACGAGGAGGAGGATGATAAGGACAAGGACATCCGCATAAAAGGGGGTCAACGTCAACATCCACGAAGGAGCTGTGCGTGCGACTAGCACAAAACCCTGCGAATAGACTGTGCCGCAGACCCAGACTTCTCCTGGGGGCCGGCAGGGGGCCTACCCCGAAACTTCGGGAGACGAGCTCCGAGGTGGCCCCGCAAGCGAGGCTGGCCACCTCGCGAAGTACGAGTCCCTGCGGGTCAATGCGGGGTGGGGCAGTTGCTGGCCTTCACGCGCGCCCGTGACAATCAATGGGGACGCGCTGGGCGAGCAGGGCTCCCGAGCGAGAGGGGAGAACGACGATACGACCACGCTCGAAGAGGAGAAGAGGAGGGGATGCAGGCGGCCCTTGCGTGCCAAGCTTTGCTGGGCAGGCCTAATTTCATTATACCTGCGACCTGCTGCTCTTCTCGTTCCTAACAGAGTCTCTCTCTCTCTCTCTCTAGGGTCTCTTCTCTTCCTGAGCGTGCTGGCCAATGGTTGTCCCATGCAATGTCGCATCTGTACCCTGATGCCCTGCAGTATATCCAATGTACCCCCTCGGTGCGGCGTGGAAGTAGGGGCTTGCATGCATATCGTCACGGCGTATGGGAGGTTGCTTTCCCCATTTCCTAGCCGTCTGTATCCCTGTCGATTCGAACGAGGAGGGGCCCTTGGGGATGCGCGCTCTGGTTGCCTTTGTGGTTGCCTCGTTTTCCATTTTTCGTCCAGGAGGAGGAGGAGGAGGAAAAGGAGGAGGAGGAGAAGGAGGAGGAGTTGGAGTTGGGGTTGGAACTGGAACTGGAGTTGGAACAGGAGGAGGAGGAGGAGCAGGAGGAGGAGGAAGCGAGGAGGGAGTTGGAGTTGGAGTTGGAGTTGGGGTTGGGGTTGGAGTTGGAGTTGGAATTGGAGGAGGAGGAGGCGGAGGAGGAGGAGGAGGAGGAGGAGGACGAGGCGGAGTTGGAGTTGGAGGATGAGGAGGCGGAGGACGAGGACGAGGAGGAGGAGGAGGAGGAGCTGGATCTGCAACTGTAGCTGCTGGATTTCGAGGAGGGGGACTTTGAGTTAGAGGAGGAGGAGGAGAAGGAGGAGAAGGAGGAGGAGGAGGAGGAGGAGGAGTTGAAGTAGGACAAGGAGGAGTTGGATTTGGAATAGAAGTTGGAGTTGGAGTTGGAGTTGGCGTTGGCGTTGGGGTCGTAGGAGAAGGAGGAGGGGGGGGAGGACGGACTGGAGCTGGAGCTGTAGGAGGAGGGGCGGCGGAGGAGGAGGATGAAGCGTTGGAGTTGGAGTTGGAGTTGGAGGAGAAGGAGGAGGAGGAGGAGGAGGAGGGGGAGGAGGTGGAGGAGAATGATTAGGAGGAGGAAGAGGAACAGCTGGAGTTGGAGTTGTTGGAGTTGGAGCTGGGGTTCGAGGAGGTTGTTTTGCGTGCCCGCTCGAGGGTGGTGCCTCCCCCCGCGCCAAACCATCGAGGATGTCTCGGGCGACATGCCTATTTTGAAAACCTTGAGGGACCTGGGCGCCCCAGCATGCCCCAGGAGGCCCTGGGAGCGCGGACGCGGCGTAATCTACACGGGATCGTTGCGTTTGGAGCGCGGACCACGCGTAATTTGCGAGGGATCGTGGCCCTCGGAGCGCGGGCGCAGAGTACTTTATGAGGGATCGTGGCTTTGGGAGCTCGGACGCAGCGTGATTTACCCCTTGGAGCGCGACCCCAATGTAATTTACAAGGGATCGGGGCCCTGGGGGCTCGGACGCAGTCCGTAGCCATTTTGGCTCAAGGCTTTGGTTTCCCAGCGGAAACTAGTGGATACCGCTAGTCCTCGGCCAGTGCTCAATTTCTTCAGCGCTCCGCTGCGCGTGCCGCCCGGCCACGCAGCATCCTGTCTTGTCCTCTCTATCGACTTTGCCACTCTGTACATTGTGTAGATGGGATGTCACAATGGTGGGAGCAGAGATGATCGTCGGCAGAGGTGGGAGTGTCGGTGGTGTGTGCACCTCCCGACAGGCAAGCCGTGGGTCAACGGAGCCGAACGCCTCGAGTGTGCTAAGTGCACGACGTGCAAAGCTGCGGCCTTCAAGAAGAATGTGGTCTTGCAGGTGCCGTCGGTGTCCCTTCGGCCGCGTCGAGGTGGACAGGGAGGTGGCGGCGTGCAGGACACGGAGCTCCAGCAGTTGCGCAAGCAGCTGCAGTCCGTCCAGGAGCAGCTGTAGCAGGAGAAGAAGCGGAAGGCCAGCACGATGGACGTCGATGAGAAGCACGAGGGCTCGACCGATCCTCAGAAGGAGCGGCTCGGAGCAATCGACGGCCTGCTGGACTCCATCAAGGATGACAAGTCACAGTTTGCAGGCCCATATCGTGATGGGCTAACACAGGAGAAGGATGCGATCCTGGCCAGCTTACGAGCCAAGCAGCCCATCACGGTGCAGCTGTCGGGGCTCAATGACAAGCTGGCGAGGACGAAGACGAATATTCAGAAGGCAGAGAAATTGGTCGAAGCCAGGCGTGCTCAGCGCGCTGAGATCCAGGCCTCGATCGACAGGGAGTGCGCGCAGATCGACCAGCTGCGGCAACAGGAGATCGAGGTCGAGCAGAATATTCGCGAGGTGGGCATGGCCACTTCGCAGCCGCCGAAGCGGCCAGGAGAGCCTAGCCAGCTGGACCTGCAGGGTATGGTTCGCTCGGCGGGCGGTGGCGCCCTGGCTGAGACGCTGCCGCAGCTGCTGCATACGAAGCTCGCCGAGATGGTCAGCGCCAAGCGTGCACGCCTTGCCGAGGGAAGTGGAGCTGACCCAGGCCGCCCCAGTGAAGGGAGCGCCCCTGGGTCGACCAAGCCCATCGAGGAAGTCAAGAGCTACCTCACGGCAGTGGGGCACGAACTACCTGAGAATGAGGACGAGGTCAGGAGGCTGGCCCAGAGAGTGCGGACAGCGACGTTTCAGTTCTCTCCGTGCTAACGTGAACAGCAATCGCAATTGGTTGATGTATATCCTTGCTATCATGATGACGATGATGGGGCCTTGCTCCTCTTCTCCTCCGTCGGCCATGCGCGCAGAGGCCGAGCCGTTCGCCCCTCGCAGCCTGATGGGCGACAGTGACGTAGACCCGTTCGCGTTTGATGACTACCGCGGCAGCGGCTTCCATGACTGGGGGGCTGATGACGAAGCGGGTCCACATATCTCAGAGCTTGGGGCTCGCTGCGGCGGAGATGGTCGTATCCAAGAGGTCGGGATCGGCTTTGATCATCGTGGACAGGGGCCTGCCGCAGCGGCCGGGCTCACGGCGACGGACGGGATTGTCGCAGACAATCGTGTGCACGGGCAAGTGGTGGCTGCTGAGGTGAGCGGCCCCTCGACTGCGCAGAGGCCTCGGGCCGATGCTGCTAGATCAAGCTCGGCGTCAGGACACGGGTCGACGTGCTGTGCGAGGGGGGCCGTGGCAGCTGAGAAGCGTGATGATGTAAAGGGCCACTTCTCCACCGTCAACGCCGCGTCGCACGGGCCGCTGTGTGACTACCTGGGTGGCAAGCCTGGGCATGCTGCGCTGGGAGTTCAGGAGCGCCGCGCCACGACGGACAACCTCGATCGTGCGCAGTCGAGGTTACACGATGCGGGGTATCACGGCATTTGGGCTTCAGCGATTGCAACGGGCAAGGGCAGTGGCACGTCCGCTGGAGTGGCTGTGTTGGCCAAGAGCCACATCTCTCTCACCTGCCCTCCTGCGACGTCGACCCCAGTGATGGAGGCAGGTAGGGTTGTCGCTGCCCATGTTCACTGGGGAGTTCAGCGAGGCGTAGTCTTTCTCTCAGTATACCTTCGGCCTAGCGAAGGACATAGCCCAGCCGACGACGAGGCGTTGAGCACGGTGCTGCAGTATATGCACATGCTAAACTGTTTGTGCATGGGCTGGGTTGTGCTGGGAGGTTTCAACATGACGGTGGAGGAGTTAGGCTTGGGTTGGATCCATGCCTTTCCTGGGATGACATTGCGACCGCGGCCGCTACCTGCCGCCAGGGAGATGGTTCTATCATTGACTACGCGCTGGTGGCGGCCAACCTGGTCACGAAGGTTGGCATGTCCGAGGTGGATGAGGAGGCGCTCGCGTCGCCTCACAGGCCTGTCGTCTACCCGCCGAAGTTGCTCGAGGTGCCCATGTGGCGCCGTGTGCCTGACGAACCGTCGCCAATCGGAGCGGTGCCGCCAACTGGCCGTGCCAGACCGCCTCGGGACTGGGAGCGGGTCCATGAGCTCATCCAGATCGCTAGCAGCCAGGCCGACTTGCAGATTGCGTGGGACGCCGTACTAATGGAGACGGAGAATGAGCTGCTTGATCGGTGGGATGTTACGGGTATGGAGCGTCTACGGCGGAGTGGAAGAGGAGGGGCTGTTCGCACGAAGTGGGTGGCCCGCCAGTGGGGGCCGCCTGCGGTCAGGCTGCAGCATGGCGACACGGCGCGCGCGTGGGGCGCTGCGGCCAGGTGGGCGCAGCACCTCATCGCGGCGCGCGGGCAGATGCAGACAAATATCCAGAGGTTGCAGGCGGCAAATGCACTCTGCGCGCTGAGCCCCGCCCAGTTTGAGGACATAGTTTCGTTTTTCATCGAGCTGCAGGCGTTCTTTCAACGAATACTGCGGACAGTCAGACACGCTGAAGCGTTTGCCTGGCTGGGTCGTCACACACTTCTCGCGCGGCCTTGAGGTCTTCAACTCGGGGGACTTTGAGCCGCAGGCGCTGGCGATTCAGGATGCTGCCAAGATCCGCCTGCAGCAGGACCAGAGCGTTCGGAATGCTAAGTGGAAGGGTTGGGCGCACCGAGCGTTCATTGGCAGTGGCACTGGCCAGGCGCATCGAGCGACGAAGTGCAGAGCGTTGCAGGAAGTTGTAGGCGCAGCCGTGGTTGGGGAGCCGCACGTGTTGGTGGAGCGCGAGTTGACGGCCTGGAAGGAAGTGTGGAGCTGTCACGGGTTGGACCCGCTAACCTTGCCGTCGGATGCTGTGAGTTGGGCCGCAGTGCCGCCGCTATCTATCAGGGCCTCAGCTGCGGCGTGCCTGCCGCTCCTTCTCCACGCGCGCTGCGCCGGGGCCTAGTCGCATTGCGCCGCGGGCGCTTGCGCAGGTCTCAGATGCAGGGCTCACGGCCATTGCAGACCTATTCAATAGGTGCGAGGAGAATCTCATATGGCCAGATGAACGGATCATCAACGAGCTGGTACGGCTACCGAAAGGGGGCGGCAATCGGCACCGACTCATTGCGCTGGTGCAGACGTTGGTACGGCTGTGGTCCAAGGCGCGTTCCCCCCTCTCCAAAGCGTGGCTGAAGCAGGCGAGCATCCCTGACATCTGGGGCTGTGGCGGCCCTGGTAGATCTTCAAGCCATTCGGCTTTTGCTCGCAACCTGGAGGCTGAGGTGGCCAAGCTGCTGGGAGAGACGAGTGTGACGGCAAGTCTAGACGCGTACAAATGTTTCGATTGCGTGAACCCTCACGCCGTTCTCGAGGAAGGTCGGAAGAGCGGATATCCCATGCGATTGTTGTGGATGCTGCTACACTATCACAAGCAACCTAGGGTGATCAAAGCGCACGATTCCTGGTCCACGCAGTTTGCGACGACACAGGGGATATTGGCTGGGTGCTCTCATTCCACGGTGTTGCTGCCGCTCCTCGCCAGCAGAATTATGAGACGTCTGTGTGGGTATAGCGTTATCCCACGGGCACTGGTGGGCGATCTGACATTGCAGTGGGTGGGCGCCAACACTGAGATGTTGTACTTCTTGTTCGAGGCCGTGAAGAAATTCATCGTGCTGGCCAGGCCCCTCGGGCTCATTCTCCAGGTGGAGAAATCTGGGCTGGTGGCGGCCTGCCCGAAGGTCAAAAGGGTAGTCAGCAAACAGGCGTCGGCGATCGGCATTCCGCTCAAGTCCAGCATCAGGAACCTCGGGCACGAGCTGCGCGGCACCGACCGACGCCGACGCCAGACCAGGTCTCGCATGGCCAAGTTGCAAAAAGAGAGTGGTCAGGGTGAAAGCTTCCAGGCGGACCGTGGGCAACAAAGTATCGGTCATCTGGAGATCGGGGCTCTTGAGCTCTGCGAATCATTGTGCCACCGTCAGCGGGTCCCCTGACAGGGGCCCCCAGACCCTGAGGCGTGCTGCGGGGGGCCTGCGTGGGGCTAAGGAAGGTTCAACTGGCCTCACGGCCTACCTCATGACCCGAAAGGACCCCTGGTATGACCCCATATATGATGCCACCCTGAGCCCTGTTGTAGCTTCCTCGCAGGCCATCTGGGGTGCCACGGTTGCGCTCGGTAGGCTTGAGAGGGCCTGGAGGGCCCTTGCCGAGAGGTTTTCGAAGTGCAGTTCGAGTTGGGCCCAGGCTGATGGCCCTCTGGCTGTTGTTTGGGTCTCACTCAGGCGAATCGATTGGAACATGGCGTCGTCGCTGCAGCTTGTAGACGATTGTGGTAACAGTTTTTCGCTGTTGCAGGTTCCCCCCGCTGATGTCCGAGAGCGGCTCCGATCCAGCATGCAGAGATGACAAGCGCGCAGACTGCTCGATCGCCACGTGGATTTGCCTCGGCACGGCCTGGTGTGGACGCGGGCCGTGAGGTGCTGCGTTGGGGGGCCGTCCGCGGCTGTGAAGTATGCCACCCATGCCGGAGCTCTCAGGGCACTGTGGGCAGGGGGCATCTGGACTCAGGCTCGGAAGGCTCAGTGTTCGTTGGAGTGTTCGGGAGTGCGTGCGTTGTGCAGCGCCGAGCCTGAGACCTACTCACATGTAATTTTTAAGTGCGATTCGCTGAAGGCGAGTTTAGATGATGAAGACCGTGGGAGTATGCTTGAGGATTGGGCTGGGATCCGTGACCGTATCCAGGAGCACGGAACGATCAGCCTAGGCAGGGCCGGTGAGGATCACGCGGCCATGTGCCTGGGTTTGCCGTTTGAGCCCCCTACGCCTCAACCCCCCTCCCTCGACCCTCCCAGCTTGCTCTGGGGTGATTGGGGGTCTGATTCCAGCAGTTGGGGCACGGTGGCATTCGCCGATGGCACAGGGCTTATGTCTAATAATCCCTCTTTGCGACGCTGCGGGTGGTCCGCGGTGTGGCTGTCTGAAGAGGGTATCCCGATCAGAGCAGCTCATGGAGGCCTGCCAGGTTTCATGCGCCAGACGGTGGGGAACGCTGAGCGCTGGGCCGCATTCAGGTCCAAGCAGCTGCGCCTCCCCCTAGACCTCGCGGTCTCGGACTTGTCGTCCTTGGTGTCAGAAGGATTGAATTGGTCTCCCGATCTAGCCAGGGGAACTGCCAAGCATGCGTTCGTTTGGCGTCGTTTCTTTCATCTGGTCGAGAAAGAGCACGCGCGCCCGCCCTCCTTTGCGTGGGTGCCCGCGCATTCGTCGCTCGAATATGCGCCCCTGAGCGACCGTGCTCCGTTCTTGTGGGTCCTCGGCAACGCCTGGGCAGATTTTTCCGCTAAAGCCGGGGCCCGGGATATTGCTGTGGCTCAAGGGCTTGCTAATGCACATAAGAGGGCGCTCAAGGAGGCGAAGTTGTTCGCACGATATGTGTCGTGGGCAGTAGCTCACAGGGTTGAATTAGCCAAGGCGTCTGAACCCGACCAGTGCCCACCTCGGCCCACCAAGCACCCACCAGCGGTGCCACCAGAAAGCGTTACAGATCACACTCTGGTGTGGGTGAAGTCGAGGAATGAGGTCCGTTGTCGTTCGTGTAACATGTCTGCGAGGACGGTTCGGACGTACGAGGATATGTTTGCCACTCGCGCCAAGGGGTGCGAGCCGTCTCAGTTCAACGTTGGAGTGCGGAGAGAGTTTTTAGCCAGCTTTCGGCTGGCGACGTGGTGCCCATGGAGCGCTCGTATTTGCTCGCCCTGCAGGCCGTGGTCATGCCCGACGACGGCCCGATTGTGGCTGTGCCACCTCCGCCTCCACCCCCTGCCACTGCCACGGATATCGACGTGCTGTTCAGGTCTCTTGGCCACGACTGCGCGAGGCGCGGGGGCGCTTTCTGTTGTCGAATCTGTGGGGCGTACCAAGTGGCGGGGGGGACTGCGAAAAACTGGAGGGCCACGTGTAAGGGCGTGCCCAACAGTAAAAGCTGTCGGCTGGGTGCGGACATGAGGGTGCGGCGCGCTCTTACAGGCCGCCACCCAGTATCCAACGCGCCTCTCTAATATGAGTCGTGCTTATTTCCGCGCTTCGCGCGTCTGCCTCACTTAAGTGAGAAGCCTTTCCCCGTCTGAGGTGAGAGTCACCCTCACAGGGCTGTTGTCTCTGCTGCGTGGTTGGTTCAGCCGCACAGGCAATGGGATTAAAAAAGGGCTCGGACGCAGCGTAATTTACAAGGGGTCGTGGCCCTAAGAGCGCGGACGGAGGGCAATTTACAAAGGGTCGGGGCCCTGGGAGCGCGACCCCAATGTAATTTACGAGGGATCGTACCCCTGGGAGCGCGGACGCAGCGTAATTTATTGGGGATCGTGACCATGGAGCGCGACCCCAGTGTAATTTACGAGGGATCGCGGCAGTGGGAGCGCGGACCCTTCGTAATTTGCACAGGATCGTGGCCTTGTGAGCGCGGACGCAGCGTAAATTATTTGGGATCGTGGCCCTTGGAGTGCGGGCGCAGCGTAATTTACCAGGGGGCGGGGCCCTGGGAGCGCGACCCCAGTGTAATCTACGAGGGATCGGGGAACTTCGATGAGCGCGGGCGCAGTGTGAATTGTTAAGGTTCGTGGCCCTAGGAATGCGGACGCAGCGTCATTTATGAGAGGTCGTGACAGCTGGAGCGGGGGCGCAGCGTGATTTTGGAGCACGTTCCTTGGCACGTTCCGTGGGGCGTCCCTTGGCGAGTCCCCCTGGCACGTTGCGTGGCGCGTCCCCTGGCACGTCCCGTGGCACGTCCATTGGCACGTTCCGTAGCGCGTTCCCTTGGCACGTACCGCGGTGCGACCCCATGGCATGTCCCCTGGCACGTTGCCTGGCGCGTCCTTTGGGACGTTTCGCGGTGCGTCCTTCTGGCATGTCCCCCTGTCAATAAGCTCTGGGGCAGCTACTATGTGTTCAGGCAGCTCGAGCTTGAGATCCAGATCAGTTCGGTCAGGACTCAGATGCAAAGGACGACTCGATCCACAATGCTATTGAGCACACTCGCGGCATGGCACATCGCAATTCAGCACGGTGCAGCACAGCACAGCCCTCGGCAGGGTACAGCAATATCGATACACTCAGCATTGCATTTGTCCGTCACCCAATCCGGTGTCTTTGAAAACCTTGCCACGCGTTACATTTCTAGATTCCTTTCCGGTTTCGTGGGTCGATCATGTTGATTATGTTTTGATTATTTCAAGTTTCTCCCCAAATCCGCATGTGGGAGCACATGCCCCACCTAAACCCAGCCCTGCTTGAAAAGGCTTCGGGAGGGGCGGGGGGGCGGGGAAATGCCATGCAAGTAAGCTTGCCTGAGTCTATCGTAAAACGCCAGCTGAGTGCGGAAATAACGTCAGGGGCAACGATTTGGGGGGGATGGACCCAGATGGACCCCCAATTGCCGCGCCCCGCCCAGGAACGCGCGGACTCGCTCTCGGGGGCTTATCGCCGATCTATCGGCGATGTATCGCCGATTCCTGGTCGATGTTCCCCCCCTGCGCCAGTCCCCCCTAGCGTTACCCCTCAGAATGGTGACTAAGAACGATGGCAGTGCCTGTCCGTTTTGGACAAGGCTCGCTGCCATTCTCGGCGTGGGCTCTGCACATTCCAGCAGCGGCCGTTGTCGTTGGACAGCATTTGCTGTTGGGAACCGTGCCCACTTAGCACTTATTTCGGGCGTCCAGAGGTCCCGATTCTATGGCCTGATCTTCGGCCCTGCGAAGATGATACTCAAGCTCTGCGCCGCCTGCGTCTGTTTTGCGCTGCTCTTCAAGATGCTCGGCAAGATAGACTGCGCCAGCAAGAAGATGGACCCTCGCCGCTGGTGCAAATGCTGCGCGAGGCAGCTGATGGCAATGGGCTGGGACGAGTTCGAGAGTTTTGACGCCTCTGTCCGTGTGCACAGCGTCGCTGACATTGCGAACAAAGGCATGCTCGGGGGTGAGAAGGAGTTCCGCGTGACCATTAGGTTCAAGTGGAGCAAGTTTGACACGCCGCCCACCAGGGATATGAAGTGGGAATCCATAAAGACAATGGAGGTTCCGCAGGGTGCACATGAGTGCACCATCGCTCTGTACTCCCTAGGAAAGTTCCGGGACACATGCCTCGGAAAGATCGAGCTCGAGACCAAGAAGGACATGATCGACAAGCCCGACTTCTGGGGCAAGAAGCAGAAGTTCAAGCTGGAGAAGTCGGGGAAGGAGATCGGCAAGATCCTGATAACGTTCTACAAGAAGGGCGATGGCGACGGCGACGACGATGGCGAAGGTGGCGGCAGCATGCCTGAGGTGCCAGTTGACGGGGTCGACTCCGACTCCGCTCTTGCGCTGGAGATCCAGCTTGCCATCGAGGAGCTTGAGAAGGTGCCAGGTTTCGTGAAGCCCGCGGGCAAATGGGAGGGGCAGAACAAGATCATAATGCTCGCCCGCGTGCTCGAGGGACAGCTACGTGAGGTCAACAAGAAGGGCAAGGAGACGGGCAAGGTGTACATCGCCATCCGGTACTGCAACATCTCCGAGCTGTTCGGCGACGAGGACAATCGGAGGGAGGAGCTGAAGAGACAGAAGGAGAAGGCCAAGCAGAAGGGCCTCCCCGAGGTGGAGAAGAAGAAGAAGAAGAAACAAAGGCATAAGCTTAAGTCGGGCCTGTCCCTCTACAGGGGGAATATTCAAAAATAGTGAAAAATAGTCGTGTGACGATTTCTAATATAAAAAACAATGTTTTGAACATTTTGGGAGTATGTTTTGAGTATTTTCATTTTTTCCCGGAAAGGGCTTAGGCCCAGGGTTCTCTTTTAGTTTTGTTTCCCTCCAGTTTTGACTGCTGTAGGGCCGGCGAATTTCTTTTGCGATGAATACCGAGGTCGCGTAGGGCCGGCGAATTAAAATTTGAGGATATGTCTAGCGAAACGCTTGTTTTTCAGAATTTGTTGAGGATGTCTCGAGCGAAACGTTGGTTTTGCAGAGTTGGGGATGTCTCGTGCGAAACGCTTGTTGTTCATGGATGTCTCGAGCGAAATGCTGGTTTTGCAGAGTTGGGGTATCTAACATTACGTCGGGCCCACCGCCGAATTATGAGGAAACGCACGGGGGGCCGAACAGCGCTACCCGAACACATGTCCCAATACAGAAAAGTGATGTTTTCTTGCTCTGAGCAGGGGGTTGCGCTTTGGGGGCCTCTCTAGGGAAGACATTGCGAGGATGTCTCGAGCGGGAGCGCGAATTCAGCGTATACAGGTCACGCAGGCGCGGTATCGAACATGGCTGTCCCGAGCTGGAACCATATGTTTTTCCATGCTCAGGCCACCCAGGGAGATCTCTAACATGATTGTTCCGAGCTGGAACCACGTGTTTTTACATGTTCAGGCCACCCAGGGGGTATCCAAAATGGTTGTCCCGAGCTGGCACCACGTGTTTTTACGTGTTCAGGCCACCATCACGACGCTTGCCCCCAGCAGGTTCCTCGGTGCGACCCCGTGGCACGTCCCTCGGCACGTCGCCTGGCGCGTCACTTGCCCCCCACTGTGAATTAGCTCTGGGGCAGCTACTATGTGCTGAGGCAGCTCGAGTTTAAGATCCAGATCAGTTCGGTCAGGACTCGGATGCAAAGGAGGACTCGATCCACAACACTACAGAGCACAGCCCTCTGCACGGTACATCAAGATCGATACACTCATTCAGCATTGCAGCCTGGCACGTTCTTTGGCACGTTCCGTGGCGCGTCCTTTGGCGAGTCCCCCTGGCACGCCGTGCGGCGCGTCCCCTGGCACGTCCCGTGGCACGTCCATTGGCACGTTCCGTAGCGCGTCCCCTTGGCACGCCCCGCGGTGCGTCCCCGTGGCACGTCGCCTGGCACGTCGCCTGGCGCGTCACTTTGAGCTTTCTGCGGCGCGTCTTCCTAGCATTCCCCCCTGTGAATTAGCTCTGGGGCAGCTACTAAGTGCTGAGGCAGCTCGAGCTTAAGATCCAGATCAGTTCGATCAGGACTCGGATACAAAGGAGGACTCGATCCACAACGCTATCGAGCACAATCTCGGCATGGCAACATCGCAGTTCAGCACGGCGCAGCATAGCACAGCCCTCGGCACGGTACATCAAGATCGATGCACTCAGCATTGCAACTTGGCAAGTTCTTTGGCACGTTCCGTGGCGCGTCCCATGGCTAGTCCCCCTGGCACGTCCCGCGGCGCGTCCCCGTGGCACCTCCCCTGGCACGTCGCTTGGCGCGTCCCTTGGGACGTTCTGCGGCGCGTCCTCCTGGCATGTTCTCCTGTCAATTAGCTCTGGGGCAGCTACTATGTGCTGAGGCAGCTCGAGCTTAAGATCCAGATCAGTTCGGTCAGGACTCGGATGCAAAGGAGGACTCGATCCACAACGCTATCGAGCACAATCTCGGAATGGCACATCGCAGTTCAGCACGGCTCAGCACAGCACAGCCTTCGGCACGGTACAACAAGATCGATGCACTCAGCATTGCAACTTGGCACGTTCCTTGGCACGTTCCGTGGCGCGTCCCGTGGCGAGTCCCCCTGGCACGTCCCGCGGCGTTCCCCGGCACGTCCCGTGGCACGTCCAGTGGCACGTTCCGTAGCGCGTCCCCTTGGCACGTCCCGCGGTGCGTCCCCATGGCACGTCCCGTGGCACGTCGCCTGGCGGGCCCCTTGGGACGTTCCGCGGCGCGTCCTCCTGGCATGTTCCCTTGTCAATCAGCTCTGGGGCAGCTACTAGTTATGTGCTCGGGCAGTTCGAGCTTAAGATCCAGATCAGTTCGGTCGGGACTCGGATGCAAAGGAGGACTCGATCCCAAACGCTATAGATCACAACCGCGGCATGGCACATCGCAATTCAGCACGGCGCTTCACAGTACAGCCCTCGGCACGGTACATCAATCGATACATTCAGCATTGCATTTGCCCGTCGCCCAATCAGGTGTCTTTGAAACGTTGCCATGTCTTACATTATTGTATTCCTTTCCGGGTTCGTGGGTCGATCATGCTCACCCAATATATCCCCCTGTAGGGGGATAGAACCTTTCGCAAGCACAGCCTAAGCACAAGCACAACCTCCCACTTCGCCCGACCTAAGCACAAGCAGAACCTTTCGGAGCTCCGCGCGGATATCTCGGCCCGGTGCTGGGCCGTGGGGCGCCGGCGGTGCCGCCCCCGGCGCCCTCCCCCTCGCCGGGGAGGGGGAGCCTCGGGGCCCCCCAGAAACGGATCGGGGGTGAAACACTGCACCAGATGGAGGGCTCCGGACCGATTTGGGGCAGATTTGCCCTCATCCCCCGCCATGTGGCCCCTCTGTTGCTCGGGGGCCCCCCAGCGGCGTGGTGACCGCACCGGGCGCTGAGTCCGTGGGGCTTTCGGGGTCGCCGCACGGCGTTCGGGCCCCGGGGGCCTTCTCCGAGGGCCTTCTCGGGCGGCGGGGCCTCCGAGGTCCCAAGAGGCCCCTGCACCGGCGGAGCGTGCGGTGCGGTCCTGGGGGACGTCGAGGTCACCGCACGGTCCGTCGCCGCACCGTTTCGGGACTCCCAAGGGTCCAGCGCCGAGCCAAGAGACCCGCGCGGGCCGCGGGTTCCCGCAGAGGTGCAGAAGAAGTGGTACTGGGCCTGGTACGACGACAAGAAGTCTGCCAAGGACGACAAGGGCTGGCACCACCCCGTGGGGTTCTTCCCGATGACGGCCATCACCTCCGTCCACAGCTCTCCCGAGCGGTCGGACCAGTTCATCATCAAGTATTCCAACGATGGCGAGAAGGACTCGCTCATATACCGCCGCGAGTCAGGCAAGGGCCGCGACGTGTGGATCGAGGGCATCGACATGTGTTTCCAGGAGGTTCGCAACATGGTGAAGGAACAGAAAGACAAGCCCAATGTGGAGGCCGATGCTACAAGAGTGATCAAGCACTACCCTAGCGAAGCACCCTGGTAGCAGCAAAGGTGAAGAGGCGGTTGAGAGTGTGGCCATGTGCACCTCGATTATCTCTTAGAAGGAACGTGGCCGTCTGGACCAAACATGTAGCTGGCGTTGATGCGAGGGCACGGTTCCTGAATGCATACCTGGAAGTCTCGAGCGAAAGTGCTGACGGTTGCCGGACCAAGCGATCTTGGGCTCCCCGCCCGCCTTGGTGGGACTCTCCTATGCGTTTTTCCCCGGAAAGGGCCGGGGCCCAGGGTTCTCTTTTAGTGTGTTTACCGGCGGTTCTGACGGCTGTAGGGCCGGCGAAATTATTTTGCGATGAATAACGAGGTCGCGTAGGGCTGGCGAAATTATGTTTGAGGATGTCTCGAGCGAAACGCTTGTTTTCCAGAATTTGTTGAGGATGTCTCGAGCGAAACGCTTGTTGTGTGTTATAGACTGTCCTCTCCTGGGGACCTGAATTCAGAGGATCTCTCAAGTGAAAGTCTTGTTTTCACGTGCCCAGGTCTTGAGGATGTCTCGAGCGAGACGCTCGGTTTCACGCCTCCAGCTTGCCCAGACGATGTCTAGCATGAGGATTTGTTGAGGATATCTCGAACCAGAGGCTTGTTTTCATTTGTCCAGGTCGCCCAGGCAGATGTCTAGCATGAGGATGTGTCGAGGAAGTCTCGATCGAGACGCTTGTTTGCACTTGTTCAGGTTGCCCAGGCAGATGTCTAGCATGAGGATGTGCTGAGGACGTCTTGAGCGAAACGCTTGTTTTCACGTGTCGAGGTTGCCCAGGCACAGCACAGCCTTCGGCACGGTACGTCAATATCGATACACTTAGCATGGCAGCCTGGCATGTTGCCTGGCACGTTACGCGGAGCGTCCCGTGGCGAGTCCCCCTGGTACGTCCGGCGGCGCGTCCCTTGGCACGTCCTACGGTGCGTCCCCTTGGCACGTCCCGCGGTGCGTGCCCATGGCACGTCCCGTGGCACGTCGCCTGGCGGGCCCCTTGGGACGTTCCGCGGTGCGTCCTCCTGGCATGTCCCCCTGTCGAATAGTTCTGGGGCAGCTACCATCTGCTCAGGCAGCTCGAGCTTAAGATCCAGATCAGTTCGGTCAGGACTCGGATGCAAAGAGGACTCGATCCACAACGTTGTATAGAGCACAATCGCGGCATGGCACATCGCAGTTCAGCACTGCGTAGCACAGCACAGCCTTCGGCACGGTACATCAAGATCGATACACTCAACATTGCATTTTGGCACGTTCCTTGGCGCGTTCCGTGGCGAGTCCACCTGGCACGTCGCGCGGCGCGTCCCTTGGCACGTCCCGCGGCGCGTCCATAGGCACGTTCCGTAGCGCGTCCCCTTGGCACGTCCCGCGGTGCGTTCCCATGGCACGTCCCGTGGCACGTCGCCTGGCGCGTCCCTTGGGACGTTCCGCGGTGCGTCCTCCTGGCATGTCCCCCTGTCGAATAGTTCTGGGGCAGCTACCATCTGCTCAGGCAGCTCGAGCTTAAGATCCAGATCAGTTCGGTCAGGACTCGGATGCAAAGAGGACTCGATCCACAACGCTGTATTGAGCACAACCGCGGCATGACACATCGCAGTTCAGCACGGCGCAGCACAGCACAGCCTTCGGCACGGTACATCAAGATTATACACTCAGCCTTGCATTTGCCCGTCGCCCAATCAGGTGTCTTTGAAACGTTGCCATGCGTTACATTTCTATATTCCTTTCCGGGTTCGTGGGTCGATCATATTATGTTTGCTGTTTTTCCCGGAAAGGGCGTGGGCCCAGGGTTCTCTTTTAGCTGTTTGCCCCCGGATCTGACGGCTGTAGGGCCGGCGAATTTCTTTTGCGATAAATGACGAGGTCGCCTAGGGCCGGCGAATTAAAAAGTTGAGGATGTCTCGAGCGAAACGCTTGTTTTTCTGAAATTGTTGAGGATGTCTGGAGCGAAACGCTTGTTCTGTGTTATAGATTGATCTCTCTTGGGGACCTGAATTCAGAGGATCTCTCAAGTGAAATGCTGGGTTTCACGTGCCCAGGTCTTGAGGATGTCTCGAGCGAGGCGCTTGGTTTCACGCCTCCAGGTTGCCCAGGCAGAGGTCAAGCGCCAGGATTTGTTGAGGATGTCTCGAGCGAGACGCTTGGTTTCACGCGTCCTTGTCGCCCAGGCGGATGTCTAGAATGAGGAGGTGTTGAGGAAGTCTCGATCGAGATGCTTGTTTGCACGTATCCAGGTTGCCCAGGCGGATGCCTAGCATGATAATGTGTTGAGAATGTCTCGAGCGATACGCTTGTTTTCACGTGTCCAGGTCGCCCAGGCGGATGTCTAACATAGAAGATGTGTTGAGGATGTCTCGAGCGAGACGTTTGCTTTCACGTGTACAGGTCGCCAAGGCAGATGTCTAGAATGAGGAGGTGTTGAAAACGTCTCGAGCGAAACGCTTGTTTTCACGTGCCCAGGTCACCCAGGCGGACGTCTCACATGAAGATGTGTTGAGGATGTCTCGAGCGAACTACTTGTTTTCGCGTGTCCAGTTCGCCCAGGCGGATGTCTAGCATGAGAATGTGTTGAGGATGTGTTGAGCGAAACGTTTGTTTTCACGTGTCCAGGTCGCTCAGGCGGATGTCTAGAATGAGGATTTTGACACGATGTCTCGAGCGAAATGCTTGTCCCCAGCACGTTCCGTAGCGCGTCCCCTTGGCACGTCCCGCGGTGCGTCCCCATGGCACGTCCCCTGGCATGTCGCCTGGCGCGTCCCTTGAGACGTTCCGCGGCGCGTCCTCCTGGCATGTCCCCCTGTCAATTAGTTCTGCGGCAGATACTGTGTGTTCAGGCAGCTCGAGCTTAAGATCCAGATCAGTTCGGTCAGGACTCGGATGCAAAGGAAGACGCGATCCACGACGCTATCGAGCACAACCGCGGCATGGCACATCGCAATTCAGCACGGTGCAGCACAGCACAGACTTCGGCACGGTACATCAAGATCGATACAATCAGCATTGCAACCTGGCACGTTCCTTGGCACGTTCCGTGGGGCGTCACTTGGCGAGTCCCCCTGGCACGTCGCGCGGCGCGTCCCCTGGCACATTCCGAGGCACATCCGTTGGCACGTTCCGTAGCGCGTCCCCTTGGCACGTCCTACGGTGCGACCCCACGGCACGTCGCCTGGCGCGTCCCTTGGGACGTTTCGCGGCGCGTCCTCCTGGCATGTCCCCCTGTCAATTAACCCTGGGGCAGCTACTATGTGTTCAGGCAGCTCGAGCCTAAGATCCAGATCAGTTCGGTGAGGACTCGGATGCAAAGGAGGACTCGATCCACGACGCTATAGAGCACAACCGCGGCATGGCACGTCGCAATTCCGCACGGCGCAGCACAGCACAGCCCTCGGCACGGTACATCAAGATCGACACACTCAGCATTGCAACCTGGCCCGTCACCCAATCCGGTGTCTTTGAAAACGTTGCCATGCGTTACACTTCTATATTCCTTTCCGGGTTCGTCGGTCGATCATGTTTTTTCGGGGGCGGAAAAGAGGGGGGTGATGATTCGGGGGGGTGGATATCATGGCCTGGGCCATGATATTTCCCCGGATTTCACAGCGCCTCTTCTTATTTCATTACGTCCCTGGCCCCCCCGCTGGGCCGCGCACATGCCGCCAGTCATGATTTGCACCCCCCCCTCTTGGACACCCCCCTCTTGGCCGCTCCCGATTTTTAAGGGAACCCGCAAGCGAAACGTTCGGGAAATTCGAGGCGGGTCGAGGACAGGGCTGGGAGCACTTCCATTGCACCTCAATGTGTTTTTTCCAGGAAAGGGCGGAAGCCCAGGGTTCTCTTTTGGAAGTTTGCCCCCGGCATCGACGGGAAGAGGGCCGGCGGAGTTCTTCTGCGACAAATTACGTGCGGGAAGAGGGCCGGCGGAATTATGTTTGAGGATGTCTCGAGCGAAACGCTTGTTTTTCCCGGAAAGGGCTCAGGCCCAGGGTTCTCTTTTAGTATGTAAACGTAGTCCCCGGTGCCCAACTTGAAGGAGGCCGGCGGATTCTTTCCCTGATAGATATCGAGGTCGAAGGAGGCCGGCGGATTAAAATTTGAGGATGTCTCAGGCGAAACGCTTGTTTTTGAAATCCCGATCGATAAATCACAGGGTGCGGGACACCTCAGCACGACCACACCCCCAGCATGACCACACCCCAGCACGACCACGCCCAGCACGACCACAGCACGACCACACCCCAGCACGACCACACCCCAGCACGACCACACCCCAGCAGCACGACCACACCCCAGCACGACCACACCCCAGCACGACCACACCACCAGCACGACCCCACCCCAGCACGACCCCACCCCAGCACGACCACGCCCCAGCACGACCACACCCCAGCACGACCACACCCCAGCACGACCACACCCCAGCACGACCCCACCCAGCACGACCCCACCCCAGCACGCACCCCAGCACGACCACACCCCAGCACGACCACACCCCAGCACGACCCCACCCAGCACGACCCCACCCCAGCAAGACCACACCCCAGCACGACCACACCCCAGCACGACCTCACCACAGCACGACCACACCCCAGCACCCACAGCACGACCACCCCTCCCCCAGCACGACCACCCCCCCAGCACGACCACCCCAGCACGACCACCCCCCAGCACGACCACACCCCAGCACGACCACTCCCCAGCACGACCACACCGCCTTGGTTGAGTGGTTGCCTGTCGTCGTGGAATGTTTCGTGGGGTGTCTCGTGGAATGTTTCGCGGGGTGTCTCGTGGAATGTTTCGTGAGGTGTCTCGTGGAATGTTTCGTGAGGTGTCTCGTGGGATGTTTCGTGAAGTGTCTCGTGGGATGTTTCGTGAGGTGTTGCCCAGTTGGGTATCGTGAAAACGTGTCCATGCTCCACATGTCTATATCCCTTTCCGGGTTCGTGGGTCCATCATGTTCAGAA